ATATTTCTCGACCCTTAACCCTGGAAAACTCTCCGTATGCTTTTACATCCAAAAAGTTCTGAGTGTTTTTTGCCAGTTGACGATTGCAAATATGGTTTACATGTTTCATAACCCTAATCTGGAATCTGAGATAAATAACCTTTTTCTTATCAAGAGCACTGGCTCTTATTCAAGTATATCACAGCTGTTTTGAACTAATTTTCAATTACTGCGACTAAACTAGAACTATTAGCTGTAGGGTGGTTCATGTGACCACGGGTCGGTTGTGGCTTCCTCCACCATCAAGTCCATGCATCCAAAAACAAATAACCGACTATCTAAATTCATACCCAATACTGACTGGTGACCAGACGAGAGGCTGTGGTTCGCCATATGGATAAGCTGCCATATCGATTTTCCCTTCTCTCCCCACACACACTCAATGATAAATGTGTAAAACCTATGCTATATGTAAAAACTATCCTTTTAATATCTAACTTGACATCATCTCCTTTTAATCAAAATCTTAATAGAAATCTTCTATTCAGGCGTGAGAAGATTCATTGATTATTTCAATTGGAGAACATGGAAGCAAACAACAGTCAATGTTACAGAAAGCTACAAAGATCAAAACTTGGAAGAGCCTGAATTTGAGGTCAATCCCAAGTTAAACAAAGTGACTGGTTTTTACAGAGGCCAGATGGCACCTGATGTCACAGAGTACAGGAAGGAACAAGAATTCGCTGTCACAGAAGCGAATGAAAATATTGTCGAAGTGATCTCACCAAATGAACTAGTCCAACAGCTGTGTGAGGAAGGTTGCCGATGCGTAGGACTAGTGGGTCAAGCTGGAGGGGGCAAGTCAACAATGATGAAGCGTACTGCACGAGGCGTTCTCGTCGCTAATGAACTGGATAACGAATCTAAAGCAAAAATAGGTTTGTTCGATCGGTTGTTCAGGAAACAGAAAAGTGAATTCAAATTTGTTCATCACTTGAATTTCAGAGACCTTCTTGTTTCTTATGGTTTCACTCCAGAAGAAGCTTTAACTCCATGTACTCTGCTTTTCGGAAACTTTGCACCCAATCTATCAGATCAAACTTTAAAAAAGGGATATAAATGGCTTCAGCAACACCAATCAGAAGCAATTTTCTTCATTGATGGCTTGGATCAGGCTACATGGAATCTAGAGGGAAATTACAATAAAATGACATATACTGATAAATCAAGTACAGCTACAATCATGTTTAATATCTTATCAGGCAACTTGTTCCCCCGTGTAACATTAGTTATTTCTTCACGTGAACATAGGATGGCATCCCTTCCCCTGGAGCTACGACCTCCATTAATTATTGCTCTTGCTGGCCTTGAACGTGATGACACCAAAAAACTATTTACTGCTGTTGTAGGTGAAACAGGGGAAGAATCCTGGAATAAGATGACATTTCAGTCACCTGCACTCGTGCCATTGTCTTCTGTCCCTTTATTCTTGATTTTCAATGCAATCGTTCATAAATCCAACCCAGAGAATCTGCCTAATACAATGACTGATGTAATGACAAAAGTACTTCATATTTTCATGCGTTCCTCACACACTCAGGAGAAAAAATTGATTGAAATAATTCTTCACAATTTGATGAAAATGTCATTTGAAGCCACTCGAGAGAAGCGAGTTATTTTCAACAATACCGATCTAAAAAACGCAGGACTTACAAAAGAAATGGTACGTGATCTCATCATAGAAGTACACAACTAAGATAAATCAATGTACGAAATCCTATCAGAAGTTGGAGTTGTTTGGTGCGTTATATGAAGCCAATGATGCCGAGCTCATTAGATCCCATGTTCAAGAAATCAACTTTGAAAATGAGTCTTTCACTGCAGCAGGAATGTGTGCAATGTCATGTGTCATGCGACGATGTGGCCATCTTGAACAAGTTCGCCTCGTCAATTGTGAGCTCAATGCAGAATTATTGAAAAACTTTGAGTTCAACTTGAAAGGTTCTGAAGTGAAGGCAAGTGTTGAGTAAAAAACCTAATTTACATATTATCGTTGACAAAAATAATACAAAGAATACGCTTACTTTCACATCTTGAGATAAAAAATGTATCTCCCCTCCCATCTGTCAAACTACTGTATATTTAGTCGATTACCTTAAAATCTTAGAATTATCACAGTTATACGAACATATCTTAACTTTCTTTTATACTTCTGATATTAATTTGTATTGCATCCTAACAGGTGTCAGAATTTGATATCAGCTTAAATCTGATGTCTGTTGAAGCTTTTGATATCTTCGGTTCAGTTTTAACAAACATTGAAGTGGAAAAACTCGTTATGCATGGCTGCTCACTTACAGAAGAAAAGCTTCGTGTGCTTGGAAGACATTCCCTTTTACAGGTCGGAATATATATATTTTAAGATGGTTTAATCAAATCTTTATTTTTTGTTTTTTATTTTTGTTAGTAGGTTTGCTCTGTTTTTTTTTCTAATAATTTCGTAAAATTGTTTTAATTATCAACATTTTAATATTCGCCAGAGATGATCTTTCAATTTGTAATTAATCAATTTACCATGAGGCATTATATTTATATCAGGTATTTTATATTTCAGATCCACGCTCTGGATATTCGAACTATCACAAACATGACATTTGAATTGTATTTTGCAATTGTCAAGTTCGCATCTGAACATGATGTCAAAGAACTTTTAATGGATCCGTGGGATTACTTTAAGGCAAGCAAAGAGCAGCTGTTGGAACTGAGTAAATGGAAAGTTTGTGGAAAGGTAAACCAAAATTAAAACATATGAAATGCCTCATGACCACTTAAATCACTAACCAATCTTAGTGTTGTTTCTCGCCCAACTGTGGCTCAATTGAAAAAGAATCCTCCGCCTTGCAAACTTTACTATACAATTTTCAAAAAGCCAACATAAGCAGGCCAGTGTTAAAACACTAAGGTTTACACTAATAGCATGTTGCCAATTATTATTTTTTTAATATTGCTTAAATCTCAAGTCAAGTTTCACTAGTCTAGTTATGCAGTTTTTTAGAATTTGTATTTGTATTCACGTAATAAACATATTTTATTTATCTCAGATTCGCATTCTTGATGTTCGAACTATTACAAACATGACGTTTGATCTTTATCTTGCAATTGCCAAGTTCGCATCTGAACATGATGTCAAAGAACTTTTGATAAATTCATGGGATTACTTCAAGGCAAGCAAAGATCAGCTGCTGGAACTGAGTAAATGGAAAGTTTGTGGAAAGGTAAACTAAGTTCAAAACCTTTAGAATAGTTATATTCAAGTGGTAGTGCTATTATTTTGTTGCAAGTGACTACAATCGCAAGTAACAATGAACACAATTGTATTATTATAGCAAGACTATTAATACTTTAAAGTTACAATAAAGCATCAGCTAAAAAGTCGGCTATATTAGTAAATGGTGAAAGTGTTTGCTCAAAGCAAGGTTCTGAGTCTTAAAAAGGCATAAGCTCCTAAAAGTGAAAAGAGTTCTAATAAGAGAGTTGCAAAGTCCCGAGCTCTTAACTAGAAGCGTAAAGTAAAGAGCTCTGATCGAAGAGTTGCTAATTTTCCCAAAGCAAGGTCCCAAGTTCTCAACTAAAATCGTAAAGGATTCTGATTGAAGAGTTGCAAGTTTGCTCAAAGCAAAGTCCCGGGCCCTTAACTAAATTTGAAAATAGTACTGATAGAAGAGATGCAAGTTTGCTCAAAGCAAGGTCTAGGGCTCTCAATTAAAATTGAAAATAGTACTGATAGAAGAGATGCAAATTTGCACAAAGTAAGGTCCCGGGGCCCTGCTCTAAAAGTAGAAATAGTACTGATAGAAGCATTTCAAGTTTGCTCAAAGCAAGGTCCCGGGCCCTCAACTAAAAGTAGAAATAGTACTGATAGAAGGGTTGCAAGTTTGCTCAAAGCAAGGTCCTGAGCCCTCAACTAAAAGTGGAAATAGTACTGATAGAAGGGTTGCAAGTTTGCTCAAACCAAGGTCCCGGGCCCTCTTAAACTGGGTCTAGTCCCAGGTTCCAACTAAAATCGTTCGGAATTCTGATTGTAGTCAAAATCTCGAGCCCTCATCTAAAATTGGAAAGAGTACTGATAAAAGAGTTGCAAGTTTGCTCAATGCAAGATCCTGAGTCGTCAAATAATAGTGGAAAGAGTTGCAAGTTTGCTCGATGCAAGGTCCCAGGTCCTCAACTCCCGGTAAATAGCAGAAAGAATTGCAAGTTTGCTCAAAGCAAGGTCCCGGCCCTCAACTAAAAGTGGAAAGAGTACTGATAAAAGAGATCCGAGGTCCCGTGTCCTTAACTTAACGTGGAAAGAGTTCACGAGCCCTCAACTACAGGTGAAAAGAGTACTGATGAAAAGTTGCATGTTTGCTCTAAGCAAAGTCCCGAGCTTTGACTAAGTCGAAGAAGAAGTTTGCGTCAAAAGAAGTTTATGCCAAAAGATATTTTGATTTGAGAATTAAAGGAGTCCCTAGTATGAAGGTGCTGATATGAATAATATATAAAGCTCTGAGTGCGTCAGTGTTGCTTTGAACAAATTTGTAACCCTTCTATCAGAACTCTTTCCACTTTTAATTAAGTTGCTTGGGATGTTGCTTTTAGCAAAGTTGAACCTGAGTCTTCAACTAAAATGGACAGAGTAACGGTTCTGATAGAAAAGTTTCAAGTCTTGCGGTTGCGTATCAGCAAAACATACATAATTTCTTACACCCTGGGTGAGGTGGGGGTCATCAGTTGTTTGTTATTTTGTATGTTTATGTGTGCATACTGGTTTCATATCTAATGTAAACATTAATAAGTTTAATAGTGAATAGAAGAAGGCCTGCCATAAGTATTTGCAGTCACCTTCATAACCTACTGCAATATCGCTATTGGCTATTTTTAATGATATTTGATCGATCTGGGATAAAATGTGATACCCATAAATTTACATATTCTAGGAACCTTTACACTTGTAGTTTATCAACAGATGTAATAATTTTCAGATCAATGTTCTGGATGTTCAATCCATCAGCCGAATGCCATCTGATGTATGTCTTACAATATTTGAGTTTGCAAGTCGAAGTGGAGTCAAAAAAATTCTAATGGATTCGTTGCATTTCTCTAAAGCAAATAAAGAGCAATTAAAGAAATTAAGCAAATACAAATTTTGTGGGAAGGTCTGTATTATATCACAAAATTTACTGTGACACCACCCTTACATATTTTCTCCAATACTCACTGCAAAACCTATCACAACTAGTCTTGGGGGGCAACCTCGTTCATTTTGCGATATTCCATACTGGTCGGCAAGCGGAGTAAGGGAACGATAGCAAAACAAGTTAGCAAGATTTTTTGCAAAATACACGATATAAATTACGAAAACATGTTTCTCACAGAATTGGTTTAAAGTGGGTGTGACAATAAATTTAAATAGCAGTTTCTTCAGAAGTTTACGCATTTTAACTCACTATTTCTGCAAGAATCAATAATAATACCGTAAGATCACTAGCAAATATAAGCAATTTTTGTGGCTTGCAACTACTAAAAAGTCTGAATTAAATAAATGTGCGGCCCGTAGTTTCACCCAGTTACTTGTATTTGGCCCGCCAATGAAAAAGGTTGCACACCCCTGGCCTAATCCATTATGGAAATTGATATCCAGAGAAGGTCAACCCCAAACCATCGTCTATTCCGAAGACATTTTCAAATAATATTTCGAATATGGAATATATTTTTAGTTTATATTTTCCAGTATTTTAGATTGTTTATTTGATAATTTTGTAATCAGGAGTTAAAAAAACCTAGACTGGCATAAGTGAACAGCAGATACTTCCCATAACATCTGGCATAGATCAGGCAGAATAATAAATTGATAAATGATAAATTCGCAAAAATAATATTCAACTTATTTATGAATTGAAGAACTATCGTAATTTAATTATTTATTCCTAAATGTCAGCAACAACAAGAATCTTGCCAAGGTATCAAACAGGTTAATTTACGTACATGGTCATGCATTGGACATTAACATTTTTTACTTTGCTTGTTGAAGATAGTCCCATTAGGGCAGTGGTTCTCAAACGGTGGGGCACAACGGCTTAGACAATTCTTTGAGAGGGCGTGAAGCCAATTAAAAATAAAAATATTTGTTAGATTTGATCCTGCCCGACTTGTTTTGGATATTTACATTTGTTTATTTTAGATATTTACATTCCATCCATGTATTTTCTACGTATTTTTTGAACAAAAAACATTTTCGCTCAAGGGTCTGTTATTTGTAGCTTATTGTTTAGCTAGTTTGTTTTTGAGGTGTTGAAATGTTTTTAAAGGGATTATATGGATGGCATATAATTGAGTCTTATTATTTATTTTTCACTGTTTTACGACATTTTGATGCGTGATGTTGATATATATCAGAAAATCAACTTGTGTTAGTGGTTCTGAATTCACTCTTCTGTGTTAGTAGGCACCAGCCTTCAAACATTTAAAAGCCAAAATACCCGCCTTTATTGCACTGATGTTTGTTATCTTTATGTTTTTAGATATCCGTTATTGATATCAGTCAAAATTCTATGGACGAGGAAGCTTTTGATGCTCTTGGTGACCTTTTATCAAAATATGAAGTTGACCAACTCATTGCAAAAAATTGCCAGCTAACAAAAGCAAAACTTGATGCTCTTGGAGGTCATTCTGGATTAAAAGTATGACCAAGTTATAATATAATATCATGCCACTGTTGCTCTTTTGTTGAGTTGGCTAGAAAATACACACAAAACAGCTGGTTTTAAGATATTTGATATTGGTAGATTTGGATAGTAAAGTCCTCTTTTTGCAGGAATATCCAAAATCAAAGATGTAAATATTCAAAATAAGGCGTGCAAGATCAAATTTAACAAATATTTTTATTTTTAATTAGCTTTACACCCCCTCAAAAAATTGTATGCACCCCACTTTTAAGAACCACTGGTCTAGGGTCGATACAAACAACCACTTTTGTACAAGAAACTGCCTTTCTTGATTAGCCAGGGTTTATCAGTCATATCTGTTACAAAACTTTTGGATAAGATTTAGATATGTAATCTTGTAATATTGTTTCTTGATATGTAATTAAATAATCTGTTAAGTGTATGCGTAGTGATTTCTATTCAGCATTCCTGTCAAACTAGGTGGCGAGCGACTTTTGCCAGCAACTTTTTTGGTCTATATTTTCCCATTAGTTTTCTCAAGGTAGAGATAAGGATAGGGTAATATTTGGTAGTCCTGAAGTATGCGCACCAAGATGTCGCACAAACTGAACCCTAACCTTATACACAACCTGAGTCCTGGTTGTGCGCCATCTTGGTGCGCATACTTCAGGAGTACCAAATATTACCCTATCCTTATCTCGACCTAGAGAAAACTAATGGGAAAATATAGACCAAAATAGTTGCTGACAAAAGTCAACATTCTGTGGACATAAAATGTGTGGTAAACTTTTCGATTATAATTAATTTTTGTTATTTGTGTTTTCGCACTTAAGAAAAAATGATTTTCTATTCAGCATTCTTGCCAAACTAGATGGCGATGTAGAGTAGATTGAATTGATCTCCTTTTTATTGTTCTTCTTTTCAGTGTTAGCAGTGTAAAGCAAATGATTCCATTGGTATTATTTGTTAACTTCTGTTTATAAAAAGTTATAAAACCTATCAAAAACTCAAGCACCCTCTTTGTAATGGAAACATGGCTCCCATATAGCTGCCTTTGTCATGATCAAACTGAAGCTTGACCGTGTCACTTATAGAGCTAGCAAATTGTATTACAGCACGTCACTTTTATCTTGCTTCCTTTTGTTGCAAATTTCAAAATTTAGTTGTGAATATTATATAAAAATGAATGAAATGCTATCTTTCAATTTAATAAATTTTCAAAGTTTCCTCCCAATAATCCTATTCGTTTTACTAGATTTGCACTTTGGATATTCGATCCATAACTGGCATGACATTCAATCTATTTCTTGCAATATCTAAGTTTGCGACTGAGAGTGAGGTCAAAGAACTTCTGATGGACCCATGGAAAGAGTTCAAAGCAACTAAAGATCAAATATTGGAATTGAGTAAATGGAAAGTTTGTGGAAAGGTGTGTAACATACTATTACGGCTTGGAATATGACAACAAATTAATTGCCTATTTCAGCCTTCTGTAATCGGCCAAATTTTATGGGGTAATTGTTTACTAATGGCTTTTTGTTTTTGAAATGGTTATATTGGTAGTATTTAATTGTGTCTTATCATTTATTTCCCACTGTTTTTCAACAATTTAAAGCGTAAGGTGATATATACTGAAAAATCAACGAAACATTCAAACTTGCCTTTACCACTTAATGATGTTGCATTATCTTTATACTTTCAGATATCCATCATTGATATCAGTCAAAACCCAATGGACGAAGAAGCTTGTGATGCTCTTAGTGACCTGTTATCAAACTATGAAGTTGACCAACTCATTGCAAAAAATTGCCAGCTAACCAAAGCAAAACTTGATGCTCTTGGAAGTCATTCTGGATTAAAAGTATGACAAAGTTGTAATATTACGCCACTGTTTACCTGTTGTTAAGTTGGTCGGAAAATACACACGAATCAGCCAATTTTATATGATATTTGATATTGGTAAATTTGGGTAGTAAAGTGTCTTTAGTTAAATGTTTATTAAATTGTTTGAGGTAGCCACGTGAAAGGTATTATGATGTCGAATAATAATAATGTCAAAAAATCTAGCATCACACTTTCATTTGGTATAATGTCTAAGCTAGAGTCTGTACAAACAACCACTTTTATGCAACAAACTACTTTTCTTAATGAGCCAGGAGCCAGTATCTGTTCCAAACGCTCTGGATGGGATTTAGATATGTAATCTTATTTATACTTGAAATCCATTTATTTATCTATGTTTCAGTTATCCAGGTTTGACATCAGTGGAAATCCAATGGATGAAAAAGGCTTCAATGCTCTCGGTTCTTTATTGACAGCAAATAATAGGGCTCTTGACCTTGTCATGCAAAATTGCCAACTCACAAAAGAAAAACTTGACGCTCTTGGAAGTCACTCAGGATTAAAGGTTTTGTTTTAAATTGTTTCTTGATATATAATTAAATAATCTGTTCATAAAGTGTATGTGTAGTGATTTTCTATTCAGCATTCCTGTCAAACTAGGTGGCGAGCGACTTTTGTCAGCAACTTTTTTGGTCTATATTTTTCCATTAGTTTTCTCTAGGTAGATATAGGGATAGGGTAATATTTGGTACTCCTGAAGTATGTGCACCAAGATGTCGCACAAACTGAACCCTAACCTTATACACAACCTGAGTTCAGGTTGTGCGCCATCTTGGTGCGCATACTTCAGGAGGTTCCTATATTTTCTTTCCCCTTAGTTTTCTCTGTGAGACTTGAATTTACTAGGATAGGATGGAAATTGCATATTTTTCCCGGGGGAGAGATGAGGCGGCTCAATCATATGGCGAATCACAGCCTCTAGTCCGGTTACCAGTCTATGTCGGTCATGGGATTAGTTAGCTAGTTATTTGTTTTCGGAAGCATGGACTTGATGATGGAGAAAGCCATACTCGACCAGCAGTTACGTGAAACACACTAACTACATTGGCAAGAAGAACAGCAACCCTTCCGCACATAATTTTTCCCCACAGGATTCAAACCTGCAATCCCAAGCAAGGTAATCAGAGATGATGTGGAAACTTAGATTCTTATATTTTTTTGAACTAGTTGATACAATATATTTATGCTTTCTGCTAAAAAAAATAGTTTTCTTTATGTCGGTTTTTATTAATCATATCTATCACAAAACTTTTAGAGAGAATTCAGATATCGAAGCTATTTGTTCATTAAATTTCATTTCTATGTTTACAGCTGTCCAGGATTAATATCAGTGAAAATTCAATGGATGAAAAAGGATTCAATGCTCTCGGTTCTTTATTAACAACAAATAATAAAGTTCTTCACCTTGTCATGCAAAATTGCCAACTCACAAAAGAAAAACTGGACGCTCTTGGAAGTCGCTCAGTATTAAAGGTTTTGTTTTATATTGTTGCTCGATATATGATTGAATAATCTGTTAAGAATACCCGTAGTGATTTTCTATTCAGCATTTTTGCCAAACTAGATGGCGATGTAGAGTAGATTGAATTGATCTCTTTTTTCTCTGTTCTCCTTTCAGTGTAAAGCAAATGATTTTATTGGTATTATTTGTTAACTTCTGTTTATAAAAAGTTATAAAACCTCAAGCACTCTTTTTGTAGTGGAAACATGGCACCCATATAGCTGGCTTTGTCATGATCCAACTAAAGTTTGACGGTGTCACTTATAGAGCTAGCAAATTGTACTACAGCACATCACTTTTAATCTTGCTTATATTTGTTGCAAATTTCAAAATTTAGTTGTGAATATTATATAAAAATGTTGAATATGAACACTCCCCTGTGACATGATTAGTTAGTTGAGATTTATTCTTCTATGAGTCATAATGTTCCCCATATTACAGGCATTGATATGAAATACTATCTTTCAATTTAATGAATTTTCAAAGTTTCCTCCCAATAATCCTATTCGTTTTACTAGATTTGCACTCTGGATATTCGATCCATAACCGGCATGACATTTGATCTATTTCTCGCAATATCTAAGTTTGCATGTGAAAGTGAGGCCAAAGAACTTCTGATGGACCCATGGAAAGAGTTCAAAGCAACTAAAGATCAAATAATGGAATTGAGTAAATGGAAAGTCTGTGGAAAGGTTTGTAACATATTCATTGAGACTTGGAATATGATAACAAAATTATTGCCTAATCCATTAAATATGTTGTAAACATTTTGTTGATCAACCTTGAATCTCACTTTATTGTACAGAGTGTATGTGAATTTAGTGAATCGATATCCAAAGAAGGTTACCCCAGAACCATTGTTTGTTTACATTTTCAAATAATATTTCGAATATGTTTTAAGTTTAGATTTCCCAGTTTTTCAGAATGTTTCTATTTGATATTCTAGTAAACAGAAGGTTAAAAAATCCTGGATTGAGAAAACATAAGATACTTCGCATAACATCTGGCACCGATTAGGCAAAATAATAAAAAGATATTAAATAAATGATAAATTTTCAAAATGAATATTCAATTTATTTATGAGTTGAAGGACTAATTTAAATATTTATTTTAGTTGGATGTACTGAAGGTCAGTAACAACACGGATCTTGGCACTGCTGGCTTTGGTGAAGTTGGATTAGTTGTTTCACAATGTCAGGTGAATGAACTTGATGCCTCATATTGCAATCTGACAGCAGAAGGAATGAAAGCTTTCAAGGGAAACACTCTTAATGCAAAGGTAAAGACCAGTTTATATACCTGACCATATATTTGCTATAATTTCAAACTTTGTTGCTGCATTATGCGACATTATCACATGCTTTTCACATGGAACCTCCGCACCTCTGATTACTCTCCGTGAGTTTGCAGGTTCGAATCCCATGTGGGGATAGTTATGTGCGAGAGGATTGCTGGACTCCTCGCCGCCGTTGGATGGTTCACGTGACTTCTTGTAACTCAAGTTTGCTTCATTGTCTTTAATTAACCGCTTATCATGATTAACGCTGTGGTGAATAATCGTATTTGTTGGTGATTATTCTGACATTCGCTGGAAAATATTTTGACCAAAATAACACGCCTGTTTTATAATTTGACTGCCGTTGCATGAGCCATATTATTGTGTATTGTCGGTTCACAGGCGTAAAAGATTGAAAAAACCGCTATTTCTGCTTTATCCATGCAATGACAGAACTGCTTATATATCTGAGTGACTGTTTATACTTATTTGATGTGAAAGTTTTCTGTATCGAAGACAATGCATTCATATTGCCCACCGCATTAACAACTGCATATATAAGTCAACTTGAACGAAATTCCATATGAAAAGTTAAATACACTATCTTTCCTCTATTGTGAGCAAATATTTTTTTCAATAGAATTTAACAATATTTTGATATCAGATTTTATTATGCAACATTATCACATGCAATTTGCTAAGAACGAAGCTTTGTGCAAGCAGCCTTTGGTGAGTTTTACGAGACGAAATATCTCAGGCTCAGCATTGCCCATACAACTCATCACACCCTAAGGTGGTGGTGGGCATGGGAGCGGAATCTGAGAGTTTTAACAATATGATACAATGGATATGCAATATGTGCACCCGCTCAGACACTTAATTGGTTCAGACAATTATTCAGCATAGTTGTGAGCATTGCCTTGTTTTCACGGTTTTGCACGTTATTTGCAGTTTTCTGTTGTTTCAAAAAAAAACCTAACTCATATCCTTGGTCATTTTATTTGCCCATATTTTCTATTCCAAATTTATTCTTGAATGATCGCCAAAGCAACCCTGAAAACGAATATCACTCAAGTTTTAGTCATGGTTTTTAATTGACCGCTTGCCGGGATTAACGCTTTGGCGAATAAACCTACCGGTATATTTTTTAGTGTTTAATCGTATTTTTGGGTGTTCCCAGTCGCATGGTAATGATTGGTAATCACTGTTCCAGGCTCTATCCATGCAGTGACAGTCTTGCCTATATATCTGAGTGACTGTTCACTTTATGTTTGATGCGGAGGTTTCCTGTATTGGAGACAATGCATTGCTATCGCCCACTGCAATAACAACTGTTTAAGTCAACTTGAATGAAGTGACCCTTCAAAAAGTCAAATACTGCTTTTTTCTATTTTGTATGTGAATATTTTTTCAATAGAATTTTACAAAATTGGTCTCTGGTATTCGAAAAAGCTTAATTACCAAGAAGGCTTTTCTTCATGTAGTATTTATGTTCTAATTAACTAGGAAAATTTTATTCAGGTATCAGATTTTGTTTGGGTTGATTTTCTATCATAACAACACACTGTTGAATATTTGATAAAAAAATTTGGTCATCTCGATCCATCAGTTTTTATGGTTTTCTTTTTTATTCCTCATGCCTTTAGTCTTTGTCAGGATCACATTTATGACCAAGTTTATCTACATTAGTTCACTGATCTTATTTATTTCAGTTGGATATATTAGATATCAGTGACAACTATAATCTTGGCACTGCTGGCTTTGGTGAAGTTGGATTAGTTGTTTCAAATTGTGAGGTGAAGGAATTGCAGGCTCGGAATTGCAATCTGACAGCAAAAGAAATAAGAGCATTCAAGGAAAACACTGGTAATGCAGAGGTAAAGACCAGTTTATATACCTGACCATATATTTGCTATAATTTCATACTTTTTGCTGCATTATGCGACATTATCACATGCTTTTCACATGGAACAAAACTCAGTGTGAGCAGCCATTGATGAGTTTGAGAGACTGAAATAGCTTGGGTTCAGCATTGCCCACACAATTTATCACACGGCATGGCGATGTGGCTCATCGCGCTGACCGATAGGAATACGCCCGCAACCGCACCTCTGATTACTCTCCGTGAGTTCGCAGGTTCGAATCCCATGTGGGGATAGTTATGGGCGAGAGGATTGTTGGACTCCTCGCCGCCGTTGGATGGTTCACGTAACCGCTGGTCGGTCACGGCTTCCTCCACCATCCAGTCTGTGCTTCCGAAAACAAGTAACCAACTAATCCCATATCCGACATGGAATGGTAACCAGCTGAGGGGCCGTGGTTTGCCATATGGTTAAGCCGTATCATCGGCTTTCTTCTCCCCCTGGATAATTATGTAAAAATTATCCTAAATATCCACACCCCTAGGTGATGGGCATGGGAGTGGAATCTGAAAATTTTATTCAGGTGAAGGAACTAGGTGCCTCATATTGTAATCTGACAGCCAAAGAAATGAAAGCATTCAAGGAAAACACTAGTAATGCCAAGGTAAAACCAGTTCACATACCTGAACATATATTTGCCATAATTTAGAAATGTTAAGTCAAGTTTATTTTTTCAACCAGTAAAAAATATCACAATCATAAATTACGACAAAAAAAATAATTTACTTACTGGGGAAGAGAAGTCGCGACGAATCAAACTGGTTATCGAGCAGCGACACTCAAATGTTTTGGAGATTGCTGTATTATACGACATTATCACATGCTTTACACTTGTAACAAAACTCTGTACAAGCAGCCATTGATGAGTTTGACAAACTAAAATATTTCAGGTTTAGCATTGCCCACACTATTTAACAAACCATGAGGTGGAGGGCATAGGAATGGAATCTGAAAATTTTAATCTGTGATGTAATGGATATCTTTCCCGAACTTCGATTTCTTGTTTATTTAAGAAAAAGTGACTATTCACTAAAAGGTCATCAATAAAGTAACAATTTTTTCATAAATAAGTTGTTTATTGAATATCCTAACTGTCATTATAACTTCCTATGAGCTCCAATTCAATGCATTAAAAATTATTCCCAGAAAATCTACAATAGACTGGGCATGAATTAGCTAACAACCTGTTTGGAGCCATCCATGCCCAGTCTATCGTAGAATTTCTCTAAACCAGTTTGTAAGCGCCATATCTGCGAAACAACCCCCAATTATGCATCACAAATTTTGCAATACTCAAGTTTAGGAACAATTTTTCGGAAACATCTATATCTTTACAGTTATGACCAACGCTCATTAAAATAATTTTCTAAATTAAATGAATATTGAATGGAAATTTTAATTACTGGTATACAAATTCAACTCTGAAATTGTGACATAATATCAGAAATTAACTGTTGAAAAAATAAAATAAAACTGAAAAATAATGAATTTTATCATTTGTATAAAGTATTTAAGAAATGTATGAATGTGAAAAATAAAAAATTGGTCCTGAGCTTGAGTCACTAATTTTCCTGGAAGCTCCGCTTACAGCTAAAATGATAGGCTTGGCTCCAGCTCTTCCAAGACATCACAGCTTCGACCCTTTTTCGCAGTGCTTAGCACAATTGGCAAATCGTTGAACTGAGTGATATCTTAGTAATTGATTTATATTATTTGGGGTAATAGTGAGTGTATAAAGGCTTTTATTAGAGAAACAGGCAAGAGAAAACAATACAATAATATTCTTTGCAGTTTCACAAATTACTTGAGGCGGCGTGAAAATGTTTTTATTTTCCTAGCGGTTATATTTTTGCCACTTTTCTTTTATTCTCTGATAACACTTTGCACTGCTGATTTTGGTTAAGTTGGATAGCTAATTTACAATGTCAGATGAATAAATATTTAATTTAATTTATCGCTTGCCGGGATTAAAGTTGTGGCAAATAATCGTATTTGTTGGTGTTTAATCAGACATTCACTACAAAATATTTTGATCGAAATACCACATCTGTTCCATTCATTTCGAAAATCTGACTGGTCCATGAGCCATATTTTTTTGTGTTGCCAATCCGCAGGGGTAAAAGGTTGGAAACTAATGTTGTAGGCTCTATCCATGCAGTGACTGTCCTGCTTATATATCTGAGTGACTGTTCATTTTTGTTTGATGCCGAGGTTTCCTGTTTTGAAGGCAATGCATTACTATTGCCAACTGCAATAACAACTTTATATGATAATCAACATAAACAAAACGCCCATTGTAAAAGTCAAATACTGCTTTTTTCTATTTTGTATGCGAATATTTTTTCAATAGAATTTTACTGAATTGGTCTCTGGTATTCCAAAAAGATAAGCTTAATTACCAAGAAACTTTTTCTTCATGTAGTATATATGTCTTGGGAAAATTTTAATGAGCTATCAGTTTTTGTTTGGGTTACATTTCCATCAAAACAACAGACAGTTGAATTTTTGATAAAAAATTTGTCCATTTTGATCAATCAGTTTTTAAAGTTTGCTTTCTTCATTTCTCATACTTTTATTCCCTGCCACGATCACATTTTGTGACCGAGTTCATCTACATTAGTTTACCGATCTTATTCTTTTCAGTTGGAAATACTAGATATCAGTTTGAATGATAATCTTGGCACTGCTGGCTTTGGTGAAGTTGGATTAGTTGTTTCAGAATGTCAGGTGAAGGAATTCAAAGCTTGGGATTGCAATCTGACAGCAGAAGAAATGAAAGCATTCAAGGAAAACACTAGTAATGCAAAGGTAAAACCAGTTCACATACCTGAACATATATTTGCCATAATTTAGAAATGTCAAGTCAAGTTTATTTTTTCAACCAGTAAAAAATATCACAATCATAAATTACGACAAAAAAAATAATTTACTTACTGGGGAAGAGAAGTCGCGACGAATCAAACTGGTTATCGAGCAGCGACACCCAAATGTTTTGGCTCAACATTGCCCATACAATTCATCACACCCTGAGGTGGTGGTGGGCATGGGAGCGGAATCTGAGAATTTTAAACACTATGATGCAATGGATATGCAATATGTGCACCCGCTCAGACACTTAATTTGCTCAGACAAATATTCAGCATAGTTGTGAGCATTGCCTTGTTTTCATGGTTTTGCACGTTATTTGCAGTTTTCTGTTGTTTCAAAAAAAAAACTTAAACTCATATCTCTGTTCGTAATATTTGATTTGCCCATATTTTCTATTCCAAATTTATTCTTGAATGATCGCCAAAGCAACCATTAAAACGAATATCACTCAAGTGCTTGTCGGGATTAACGCTTTGGCGAATAAACCTATATTTTTTAGTGTTTACTCGTATTTTTGGGTGTTCCCAGTCCGCATGGTAATGATTGGTAACCATTGTTCCAGGCTCTGTCCATGCAGTAACAGTCCTGCTTATATATCTGAGTGACTGTTCACTTTATGTTTGATGCGAAGGTTTTCTGTATTGAAGACAATGCATTGCTATCGCCCACTGCAATAACAACTGTATAAGTCAACTTGAATAAAGTGACTCTTCAAAAAGTCAAATACTGCTTTTTTCTATTTTGTATGTGAATAGTTTTTCAATAGAATTTTACAAAATTGGTCTCTCGTATTCGAAAAAGCTTAATTACTAAGAAGACTTTTCCTCGTGTAGTATATATGTCTTAATCAACTAGGAAAATTTTTATCAGCTTCAGATTTTGTTTGGGTTGAATTCCTATCATGACAACAGACTGTTGAATATTTGATAAAAAAAATTTGGTCATTTTGATCAATCAGTTTTTAAAGTTTGCTTTCTTCATTTCTCATACTTTTATTCTTTGTCACGATCAAATTTTGTGACCGAGTTCATCTACATTAGTTCACTGATCTTATTTATTTCAGTTGGATATACTAGATATCAGTGACAACTATCATCTTGGCACTGCTGGCTTTGGTGAAGTTGGATTAGTTGTTTCAAAATGTCAGGTGAAGGAACTAGGTGCCTCATATTGTAATCTGACAGCCAAAGAAATGAAAGCATTCAAGGAAAACACTAATAATGCAAAGGCAAAACCAGTTCACATACCTGAACCTATATTAGCCATAATATAGAAATGTCAAGTCAAGTTTATTTTTTCAACCAGTAAAAAATATCACAATCATAAATTACGATAAAAAATAATTTTCTTACTAGGGAAGAGAAGTCGCGACGAACCAAACTGGTTTTCGAGCAGCGACACCCAAATGTTTTGGAGATTGCTGTATTATACGACATTATCACATGCTTTACACTTGTACCAAAACTCTGTACAAGCAGCCATTGATGAGTTTGACAAACTAAAATATTTCAGGTTTAGCATTGCCCACACTATTTAACAAACCATGATGTGGAGGGCATAGGAATGGAATCTGAAATTTAATCTGTGATGTAATGGATATCTTTCCCGAACTTCGATTTCTTGTTTATTTAAGAAAAAGTGACTATTCACTAAAAGGTCATCAATAAAGTAACAATTTTTTCATAAATAAGTTGTTTATTGAATATCCTAAATGTCATTATAACTTCCTATGAGCTCCAATTTAATGCATTAAAAATTATTCCCAGAAAATCTACAATAGACTGGGCATGAATTAGCTAACAACCTGTTTAGAGCCATCCATGCCCAGTCTATCGTAGAATTTCTCTAAACCAGTTTGTAAGCGCCATATCTGCGAAACAACCCCCAATTATGCATCACAAATTTTGCAATACTCAAGTTTAGGAACAATTTTTCGGAAACATCTATATCTTTACAGTTATGACCAACGCTCATTAAAATAATTTTCTAAATTAAATGAATATTGAATGGAAATTTTAATTACTGGTATACAAATTCAACTCTGAAATTGTGACATAATATCAGAAATTAACTGTTGAAAAAATAAAATAAAACTGAAAAATAATGAATTTTATCATTTGTATAAAGTATTTAAGAAATGTATGAATGTGAAAAATAAAAAATTGGTCCTGAGCTTGAGTCACTAATTTTCCTGGAAGCTCCGCTTACAGCTAAAATGATAGGCTTGGCTCCAGCTCCTCCAAGACATCACAGCTTCGACCCTTTTTCGCAGTGCTTAGCACAATTGGCAAATCGTTGAACTGAGTGATATCTTAGTAATTGATTTATATTATTTGGGGTAATAGTGAGTGTATAAAGGCTTTTATTAGAGAAACAGGCAAGAGAAAACAATACAATATTATTCTTTGCAGTTTCACAAATTACTTGAGGCGGCGTGAAAATGTTTTTATTTTCCTAGCGGTTATATTTTTGCCACTTTTCTTCTATTCTCTGATAACACTTTGCACTGCTGATTTTGGTTAAGTTGGATAGCTAATTTACAATGTCAGATGAATAAATATTTAATTTAATTTATCGCTTGCCGGGATTAAAGTTGTGGCAAATAATTGTATTTGTTGGTGTTTAATCAGACATTCACTACGAAATATTTTGATCGAAATACCACATCTGTTCCATTCATTTCGAAAATTTGACTTGTCCATGAGCCATATTTTTTTGTGTCGCCAATCCGCAGGGGTAAAAGGTTGGAAACTAATGTTGTAGGCTCTATCCATGCAGTGACTGTCCTGCTTATATATCTGAGTGACTGTTCATCTTAGTTTGATGCCGAGGTTTGCTGTTTTGAAGGCAATGCATTACTATTGCCAACTGCAATAACAACTTTATATAATAATCAACATAAACAAAACGCCCATTGTAAAAGTCAAATACTGCTTTTTTCTATTTTGTATGCGAATATTTTTTCAATAGAATTTTACTGAATTGGTCTCTGGTATTCCAAAAAGATAAGCTTAATTACCAAGAAACTTTTTCTTCATGTAGTATATATGTCTTGGGAAAATTTTAATGAGCAATCAGTTTTTGTTTGGGTTACATTTCCCTCAAAACAACAGACAGTTGAATTTTTGATAAAAAATTTGTCCATTTTGATCAATCAGTTTTTAAAGTTTGCTTTCTTCATTTCTCATACTTTTATTCCCTGCCACGATCACATTTTGTGACCGAGTTCATCTACATTAGTTTACCGATCTTATTCTTTTCAGTTGGAAATACTAGATATCAGTTTGAATGATAATCTTGGCACTGCTGGCTTTGGTGAAGTTGGATTAGTTGTTTCAGAATGTCAGGTGAAGGAATTCAAAGCTTGGAATTGCAATCTGACAGCAGAAAAAATGAAAGCATTCAAGGAAAACACTAGTAATGCAAAGGTAAAACCAGTTCACATACCTGAACATATATTTGCCATAATTTAGAAATGTCAAGTCAAGTTTATTTTTTCAACCAGTAAAAAATATCACAATCATAAATTACGACAAAAAAAATAATTTACTTACTGGGGAAGAGAAGTCGCGACGAATCAAACTGGTTATCGAGCAGCGACACCCAAATGTTTTGGAGATTGCTGTATTATACGACATTATCACATGCTTTACACTTGTAACAAAACTCTGTACAAGCAGCCATTGATGAGTTTGACAAACTAAAATATTTCAGGTTTAGCATTGCCCACACTATTTAACAAACCATGAGGTGGAGGGCATAGGAATGGAATCTGAAAATTTTAATCTGTGATGTAATGGATATCTTTCCCGAACTTCGATTTCTTGTTTATTTAAGAAAAAGTGACTATTCACTAAAAGGTCATCAATAAAGTAACAATTTTTTCATAAATAAGTTGTTTATTGAATATCCTAAATGTCATTATAACTTCCTATGAGCTCCAATTTAATGCATTAAAAATTATTCCCAGAAAATCTACAATAGACTGGGCATGAATTAGCTAACAACCTGTTTAGAGCCATCCATGCCCAGTCTATCGTAGAATTTCTCTAAACCAGTTTGTAAGCGCCATATCTGCGAAACAACCCCCAATTATGCATCACAAATTTTGCAATACTCAAGTTTAGGAACAATTTTTCGGAAACATCTATATCTTTACAGTTATGACCAACGCTCAATAAAATAATTTTCTAAATTAAATGAATATTGAATGGAAATTTTAATTACTGGTATACAAATTCAACTCTGAAATTGTGACATAATATCAGAAATTAACTGTTGAAAAAATAAAATAAAACTGAAAAATAATGGATTTTATTATTTGTATAAAGTTTTTAAGAAATGTATGAATGTGAAAAATAAAAAATTGGTCCTGAGCTTGAGTCACTAAATTTTCTGGAAGCTCCGCTTACAGCTAAAATGATAGGCTTGGCTCCAGCTCCTCCAAGACATCACAGCTTCGACCCTTTTTCGCAGTGCTTAGTACAATTGGTAAATCGTTGAACTGAGTGATATCTTAGTAATTGATTTATATTATTCGGGGTAATAGTGAGTGTATAAAGGCTTTTATTAGAGAAACAGGCAAGAGAAAACAATACAATAATATTCTTTGCAGTTTCACAAATTACTTGAGGCGGCGTGAAAATGTTTTTATTTTCTTAGCGGTTATATTTTTGCCATTTTTCTTTTATTCTCTGATAACACTTTGCACTGCTGATTTTGGTTAAGTTGGATGGCTATTTTACAATGTTAGATGAATAAATATTTAATTTAATTAATCGCTTGCCGGGATTAAAGTTGTGGCAAATAATCGTATTTGTTGGTGTTTAATCAGACATTCGCTACAAAATATTTTGATCGAAATACCACATCTGTTCCATTCATTTCGAAAATTTGACTTGTCCATGAGCCATATTTTTTTGTGTTGCCAATCCGCAGGG